GCAAAGAGGAGGCATCGCGACCGTGCACGGAGGAGCGGAGGGAGGAAGGGCCCCGACGCACGGCCGCGCGGCACGCCAGCATGCCCGCGCGGGGCCTGGCCCGCCCGACGTAGCGGCGGCGCGTGGCGGGTGGGCATGCGGGCGCCCGCCGTCGCCCGGTGCGCCGACGGCGGGACACTCCCGCCTGGGGGCGTCGACTTACGACTTGCAATAACAAGTTATTACTGCCCCATCATTAGCAGCGACATCATCATTATCACTGCAATTTTCATCGCCATCGACATCGTCATCGTCGTCGGGGCCGTCTTGTGCACGATCCTTGCTCATTCCCTTTTTTCCTCCGGTCTCTCCTCCCCCTGCGCCGCCTCCTCTTTTTGTTCCGCAGATACCGACGGAACAAGCTACATGATGCACGTTTACACTTTTACCCGTCCTGATGGCGAGAGCCATGTGCACGCCCCCTCTCCTGAATGACCAATTTAAGACTGTCCTCGTTGAGGCCAAAACGTACGCACACAAACTGTCCAAGTCGAACTAAGGTTCCCCGATGTCTCCCGAGGTCGTTGCCTGACTTTGGCCCAGGATAGGTGGCGCGCTCTCGGCGCCAAGAGGCCCACCAGGGCACGCGGCGAAAGAGCCCCCAAACCCCGCTGGCCCATCCCGAAAATTGTCTCGAGCCGCGCGGGGGCCGCCCTTCTGACGCTGTATTACGCTGTCGCGCAAAGCTACCGCCACGGGACGGCGGTCGCATCTTCGCCAGGCTGAGAATTCATCCCCACGCGCAGCCCGCGCACGCCAGGCTGGCAAAGACCACTTCTGGTTTGGACCGTCGGGGGGGAAGGCTTGGTGCGAGCTCCTCATCACCCCCCCGTCTCGTCCACCCTTTCCACGCCCTCCCTCCTTTCCCTCTGGCCTAAGGCCCCTCCTCCCCCCACCCATTGCGCTTTCAGGTCGGTTTTCATTCCGCCCTTCCTCCGCGCCATCATCCTCAACCCCCCCCCCTTCCCTCCGTCCGTCCGTCCGCCCCTCCCTCCCGCTCCCCCTTTTTGATGATTGCCCGACATCTCCCTTGCCCATTGCCCTGCGCCCCCACCTCCAATTCCCCCGCCGGCCCGCTCATCCCTCATTCCTCCGCGTCATCGCCCTTCCCCCCCGCCCCCTCTCCCAAGTCCACGCGCCCCCCCCCGCCCCCCCCCTTTCCACGCCTTCCCCTCTCCCTTGTCCTCCCTATTATTTCCCGCTCCCTTCCCTACAACAAACACCCCTCGCCCCGTTCTCCTCCTTCCGCCGCTGCCCCCTCCCCCTTCCTCCTCTTCCTCTTCCCCTTCCTGCTCTTCCTGCTCCCCGTGATCACCCTCTTCCCCCCTCCTCATTATCCCCCCCCCCCTCTTCTTCAAATGTCCCACCCTTCCTTCGCGCGTCCCACTTTGCCACTATTCTCGCGCAGTTGCCCTGTGACACGCCCGGCAAGTTTGCGCCAAACGGCCGCGTTAAATGGCCCACGCTGCTACGGATTATCACACAATGAAGACCGTCCTGTGTCGCGCAAGGCGCGGGATGCGCGCGCAGGACATGGGGGCGGGCACGAAGGGCGGGAGAAAGACGCGAGTGGGGGCCATAATTACAGCGCGACCGCAGCATGGAGACGGTGGAAATAGGAAGAGGGGGACGACGAACGACGCTGGGCGAAGGGGAGCGGCCATTATCTCCCGGCGGCACGCTGGACAAGCAACGCGGCCCGCGCAACGTCGCCGTTGCCTCCCAAGGAACAGCTGTTCGTAGCCCAATCCTAGGAACGAGCGAGGCCGAGCTAGCCCGCCAGCGTCGCCGCCTCCTCCCCGCACCTTTCATTGCGGGCGCCAAAACGCCCGCCGGCGCGCCGCCCGGTCAGCGGGCGGCCCGCGGGTAAGAAAATCAACGCCACGGTCGCGCATCAGCAGCAGCTTGTCCACCGTCATCGCCCTGGAAAGCATTGCGTAGGAACGCAGCCAGAGGGCATCCAGGTCCTCCGCGTCCTCGCGCCAGGAAACGACAATGACTCCGGGGGTGCAAGACCCAGCCCTGGCAGGCAGTGGACGTCAGGTGCTCGGCGGGGGAGATGACCAGACCGCGACCTGATGCATGCGGAAGTCGAACGGGCTCGGAGTCAGCGGCTCGATGAAGACGGGGCCCGCATCCCTCAGCGACGCCGAGGTCTCGACTGATACGAGTACAATTTCACTACGCCGACCCCCCATCAGCGGCGACAGGTTCCTAACCTGCAGCCACCATCAACGGCGAAGTCCCATCTGATCTGAATAGGACGTCGCCCCGCTGGACCATGCAGCAAACCTCGAAACGTGGCGACAGGCTCGCAGCTCGCAGCCCCCAGCGATGGCGAGGTCCCATCTGATCTGGATAGGACGTCACTCCGCCGCACCCCGCAGCAGCCGCCGAAACTGGCAACAAATTCGCAATTCTCAGCTCCCGAGCGACGGCGAAGTCTCATCTCACCTGAAAAAGACGTCACTCCGCTGCACTCCACAGAAGAACCCGAAATTGGCGACGGTTTCGCAGCTCGCAGCCCCCAGCGACGCCGAGGTCTCGTCTGAACTGAATGCAACTTCACTAGGCTGGACCTCCCAGCAACCCGCTAACATGGCGACTGATTGCCAACTCGCACCCCCCAACGACGGCGAAGTCTCATCTGATCTGAATAAGGCGCCACTCCGCTGCACCCCCCCCAGTGACGGCGAGGTCTCATCTGACCGGAATCAGGCGCCGCTCCGCTGCACCCCGCAACAACCCCCGAACATGTCGACTGTTTGCAAATTCGTGCACCCCGACGACAGCGAGGTCTCTTCTAATTTGAATGAAACGTTACTCCGCTTCACCCCACAACAACCCTCGAAACTGGCAATGGTGTCGCAACTCGCAGCCCCCAGCGACGCAGAAGTCTCGTCTAATCTGAATGCAGCTTCACTGCGCTGGACCCCCCATCAACCCGGTAAAATGGAATCACTTTGCCAATTCGCACCTCCCAGCGACAGCGAGGTCTCATCTGAATTGAATAAGACGTCGCCCAGCTGCACCACCCAGCAGCCCTCGAACGTGGCGACGATCTCGCAGCTCGCAGCCCCCGACGGCGGGGTCTCATCTGATCTGGATAGGACGTGACGTCGCTCCGCTGCACCCCCAGCAGCCCTCCAAAGTGGCGACGGTCTCGCAGCTCGCAGCCCCCAGCGACGGCGGGGTCTCATCTGATCTGGATAGGACGTGACGTCGCTCCGCTGCACCCCCAGCAGCCCTCCAAAGTGGCGACGGTTTCGCAGCTCGCAGCCCCCAGCGACGGCGGGGTCTCGTCTGACAGCCCTCGAAAATGGTGACCATGTCGCAGTTCGCAGCCCCGCGAGCCCCCAGGCAGGCAGGCTGGCAGGCAAGCGGCAGGAGGCAGGCAGGGCGGCACGCGGGCACGAGCCGGGTGAGAGGCAAGAGAAACGGGAGGTGGGAGGACAAAATGGAAACCGCAGGGCTCTGTTCAAAACTAGAACCCGAAGCAAGAAGACAAGAAGGCTGGGGATCAAATGCGCCCACACGTGTACGAATGATGTCGTAGCCTGTCTCACGTAGTCGGCCAGCTCAACACCACCGATGTGTGAGGAGTAACGAAGCGTGGGGGATGACTGTGCCGTACCAGTTTCTGTATGACTCGATGATAGCCATGATAGCTCGCCCGCGTGCTGTTCGAAGCACTGGCCAGATAAAAGAAGATCGAAACGCAGATCCACTACCGCCCATGCCGAAGCAGCAGCCCAAAAACACGGTCGCAGCACAACGCCAGCTGGGACGTCAAGTGCACTCATGACGCTTCCTCCGGCGGCCTGGCAACGATGGTGTGAATGCACGAGTGAGTATGGAAAGTCACCCACGGCAAGTACGGACGACTCACCCCGCTTCCACCTGCAACAGCGCACGGGCACGCGACCGAACAGCTCACTGCGAACGCTGCCTATGTTAGCCCCCCCCTATGATCGCGTAGGACAGTCCAATCAAACCAGGCACCACGAGGAAGACCATAATGATGAGCATGAGGATGAGCATGAGGATGGAAGACAAGCTGGGTAAAACAACATTTATGGCGACGCGCGGGCGAAGTCGGCCTCTCCGCCCCGACTTCAGGGGCTGTGGCTGGTCGGGTGTGCGTCTCCGCTGATCCCTCTCCCTGGCGCAGTGCAGCGGGGAATGTCGATGTGCGATCATAGGTCCAACCAAAAACTTGGACAACAAAATGGGGTCGGGTGGGCTACTCAGCAGCCTCCCCCGACCCATCTGGCCAGGCAGCCCTCGTAGGGGGGAGGAGCCTCCTTGCAAGTCTTTCCAACTTGCCTATCGCTCATCCCCCCTCCTCCTCCTCCTCGCTCCCGCCTCCCCTCCCCTTTCTCCTCTCCCACCTACCAGGTCCATTCCTCGCTCCGTTCCTCCTCCTCCTCCTCCTCCTCCTCCTCCTCCTCCTCCTCCTCCTCCTCCTCCTCCTCCTGCTCCGCCTGGGCGCCAGGCGCTGGTGGCATATGAATCCTCCGCGGGAGCTGCCATCCGCCCCCCCCCCCAGGGGGCCGTAGCCCCAGGGGCGGCGGGGCTTTCAAACTGGAGCGTGCGTCAAAGGAACACGAGGTCCTGCAGCCACCCAGGCGGGAGGGGAGGGAGCAGGGGGACCGACAACATGGCGACGACGAGGCCTGCGAACGGGGAGGTGGCAGCGTTTCGGTAAGCGTGGCCAGAGGCAGCGTGGGCTGCGGCAGAAGTGGCGCTGCGACGGAGTCGTCGGCGCGAGAGGTAGCGCGGCCGGGGGCCACGCTCGCCGGAGGTTGAACGGCGCAAGGGCCTCTCACCTCCTGTTCCGCCTGCGCCTCCTCCTCCTCCGCCGCCTCCTCCATCGGTTTCCTGCTCCGCCTCTCCTCCGCGACATCAGCATTTTCCTTCCCTCTCCTGAGCCCCCGAATCCCGCGACCACCCCGAGGCGCCTGGGCCTGGTGTGGGCGTCGGCGGGTACAGGTTCGCCTGGCGGGGAGGTGCAGGAAAGCCAGAGTGAATCCAAAACGCAGCAACGATGTTGCTAGAATCCCTCCCTCGAAGTTGCCTCTGTACAAGCCCCGACTTACAATATCCACCCCACGCGACCTCAATTCTTGGGACCCCCATTGTGACAATTTCTGACCCGAAGCCTACCGACATCCCCCACCGCGCACCCACTTCGTCCTGGCACCCACACTCCACACGACTTCAAGTATTGGAACCACCCACACGATTAACTATTTCTGGCCCGAAACTTACCGACACCCCCCACCGCGCCTCCACCACGTCCCGGCACCCCCACCCCATGCGAGCTGAATCCCTGGCAGCCCCACCCCACTCGAGCTCAGTTCGTGGGACCCCCCAACACGACAACTTCGGGCCCGAACCTTACCGACATCCCCCAGCGCGCCCGCGCCACATACGACAATTTCGGGCCCGACAAATTCTGGCCCGAAACTGACCGACACCCCCCACCGCGCCCCCACCACGTCCCGGCACCCCCCCCACGCGACCTCAGTTCTCGGGACCGCCCAGACGACCATTTCTGGCCCGAAACTTACCGACACCCCCCACCGCGCCCCCACCACGTTTCGGCACTGCCAACCCACGCGAGCCCAATTTTTGGGACCCCCCACGTGAAAAATTTTGGATCCGAAACTTACCAACACCCCCCACCGCGCCCCCACCACGTCCCGGCACCCCCACCCCACGCGACCTCAATTCTTGGAGCCCCCAGACAATTTCTGGCCCGAAACTTACCGACACCCCCCACCGCGCTCCCATCAGGTCCCGGCATCCCCACCCCACGCGACATTCAGTTTTTGGGACCCCCCACACGACGATTTCTGGTCTGAAACTTGCCGACACCCCCCATCGCGCCCCCACCACGTCCCGACACCCCCACCCCACGCGAGCTCAGTTCTTGGGACCCCCCGCAAGACAATTTCTGGCCCGAAACTGACCGACACCCCCCACCGCGCCTTCAACACGTTCCAACACCGCCAATCCACGCGAACTCAGTTCCTGGGATCCCCCACATGATAGTTTCAGGTCTGATCCAGGCCACCCGTCATGAATAAATGGCCCCCATTCCGCATATACCAGTCGCGCAAGGAATTAATCTGAATTAGTGGCTAGTCAGCACTTGCGATCCTCGATTAATTCGTCGCCTGAATGCATGGGGATATTGTGCAATTCAACAATTCAAGACTTCGCTCCCGAATTCTTGAATGCTCACATTCGCGATATGTGGGTGTCAAAATGGACTGCCCCAGCGGCCCTGCACCTGAAGTCAGTCCGACACGGAAATATTACCCACTTGCGAATCAAATCAGCACCAAGTGTTCATCTGAAGAAAATGAGGCTGACTTCTTGTGCAGTCGTTCATATGTTCGGCGACCGAGTATCGGGGATGGACAGACCCCCCTTTAGTAAAACGTGGTTTGGTGAAAACGACCTGAGGCCCAAACCTGGCGGGCGCAAGCCTGGAAAATGATGTCCACGGCGCCCTCTCGAGAACCGAAAACGGACAATTCACTAATCGACGTGTCACTGTTGGGGGTTCTGTCCACCCCCGAGAATAAACTGCGATCTCATGTCTTTACGCGATCAAAAAATAGTTCTCGAATTCTTCAACTCCTGACAGCGCTATACTTCGATGTAGTCACGCCAGTGAGACATATGGGACTTGCAATGCAACATCTGTCGGATTGCCCAGCCCCCCCCCGTCGGCGACCGTTCAGGTTGCCACAGTGCTCCGCCGTTTCTCCTACTCCCTCGCCCACGCTTTTCCTGCCCTACGAGAGGGAGAAACGGGGAAGCACACGAGGCGGCTTGTCAGCCCTATAATCACGCTTGGCGCCCGCTTGCGACCGTCGATCTCCTCCTCCTCCTCCTCCTCCTCCTCATCATCATCATCATCATCATCATCATCATCATCATCAACATCAACATCATCATCATCATCATCATCAGCATCAGCATCAGCATCAGCATCAGCATCAGCATCAGCATCAGCATCAGCATCATCATCATCATCATCATCATCATCATCATCATCATCATCATCATCATCATCCTGGCCCCCTCCTCCTCCTCCTCCGCCCTCATACCTTGTCCTCCTCCTCCTCCCCTTTTTGATCCTCCTTCTCATCCTGATCTTCCTCGCCCTGATCCTTCTCATCTTGATGTTTCTCCTCATTCTGACTCTCAGAATCCTGATCATTGTCACCCAGAATCGCTCCTCCTCACCATATTGATCCTCCTTATCCTGGGTCTCCTCCTCCTTATCCTGATCATCCTTCTTCTGGTCTTCCTCGTCATAATCATCCTGATCATAATCATCCTGATCCTCATCCTTCTGGTCCTCATGATCCCCGTTCTCGTCATGATCGCCCCGCTGATCCGCCTCGCCATGATCCTCCTCATCCCGATTCTTCTCCTATGTTCCTGATCACCGCCGCCCTGATTCTCCTCCTCCTCCTCCTGGTCCTGATCCTGATGGTGCTCCTCCGCCTGGTCCTCCCCGACCCGATCCTGAGCCTCCCCATGTTCCTCATCATCCCCCTCCTAGTCCTGGAACTGATCCTCCTGGCCCTCCTTGTCCCGATCCTTCTCGTCCTGGTCCTCCTCGCCCTCATCCTCATCCTCCTCGTCCTCCTCAGCCTGATCCGCATCGCCCACTTGATCCTCGCTCCGACTGCCATGCGCTCAGGGCCCCGCGGCCGATTTCGGGAGAGGGGGAGGAGAGGAGGAGGGGAGGGGAGGGGGAGTCGGGAGTGCAATGGAGGGGAGGGGAACGGTGGCGAGGGTAGGTGAGCGTAGGGAAGGGGAGGGGAGGGGAGGCGAGGAGAGAGGAGGCAGGGGAGAAGAGGGGTCAGGGGCAGCAGAGGGGGAGCGGCGGGGAGGGGCGGCAAGCACTCGCCTGCCCAGATTCTCCACTCTGGGGCCTCCCGTCGGTCAGGACCACCTTTGGGCCCCCCAGGATAGCCCTGAAGGGCACCGCGTCGCCCCCGACCGACCTTGTCCCTTGGTCCAGCCTGCCGCCGCCCTTCACTTGCGATTCCCCTCGCCCGCCCCCTGTCCGACATCAGCTTCTCGATGTTTCCTCGAAGTTTGAAACAGCTTAGAAACAACGCATGATGTGGATTCTCAGACTCATTAAATCGGGTTTTTCTGTTCTCGGATGTGCCCCCCCCGCCCCCCGATCACCCCCAGCTCGGCCCCCCGCCCCCCAAGCCTCTGCCTCGGGGCCGCCCGCAGCCCTCCAGGGCTGTCTTGGGGGCACGAGATTACCCTCACGCGGCCCCAAGAATGGAGCATCTGGGCAACCTCACCGAGTGCCTGCAGCCCCTCCCCGCCGCCTCCGTTCCGCTACCCTCCCCTCCCCTGCCTCCCCTCCCCTCCCCTACGCCCGCCTCCTCTCTCCACCTTTCCCCTCGCTTCGATTGCGCTCCCCTATCCCCTCCCCTCCCCCTCTCCTCCGCCTCCCCAATTCGGCTCCGGAACCCTGAGCGCCTGGTAATCAGAATGAGGATCAAGCGGAGAATCAGGATCAGGAAGACGATGATAAAGGTGAGGAGGATCAGGAGGATGAGGATGAGGAGGGTCAGGGCGAGGAGGGCAAGGAGGATTAGGACCAGGACGAGGATGATCAGGATGATGAGCAATGGAAGGATCATGATCAGAAGCGGAAGGACCAGGAGGAAGATCATCAGCGGGATCAGGACCAGGAAAATGAGGGTGATGAGGAGGGCCAGAATGATAGGGATCAGAATGATGAGAAGGAGGATCAGGATGACGATCGGGATTTGGAATGCCATGGTGAGGCGGATCAGGGGGACGGTCGGGATGAGGAGGATCAGGACGAGGAAGGTCAGGATAATGAGAAGGAGGATCAGGATGAAGATGATCAGGATGATTATGACGATGATGATGCTGATGATGATGCTGATGATGATGAGGAGGATCAGAAGGGGGGAGGAGGAGGGGGATCAGGACCAAGAGGAGGAGGATCAGGATCAGCAGGCTCAGGATGATGAGGATCAAGATGATGAGGTGGGAATCATGATAATTAACGAGGACCAGGATGATGAAGATCGGGGTAAGGAGGAACATCCAGGTGAAAGAGATCGGGGCAAATAGTATCGGGATGAGAGTGAGGAGGATCAGAAAGAGAAGGATGAGGAGGACAGGGCATGAGGGCGGAGGAGGACGGCCAGGAGGAGGAGGAGGAAAGAGGAGGAGGAAGAGAAGGACTGTCGCAAGCGGGCGCCAAGCATCGTAATACGTCCTGCAAGCCTCCTCGTGTACCCCCGCCCTTCTCCCCTTCGCAGAGGAGGAAGAGCTGGGCGAAGGAGCAGGAGAAACGACGGAACTCTATGGCAACCCTAAAGGTCGCCGACGGGGGGCGGAGCAAGCCAACAGATGTTGCATTGTTCCCACCGACGTGACTACACCAAACTATCGCGAGTTCACGAAGTTAAAAGTTCGGGGTCGAATTCTCAGCTTGTGCAAGAAACTGAGATCGCAGTGGATCTGGTAGCCAACTAGATGGACGATGCCGCACTGGGCTTGAATTCATTCAGATGAATATGGGCTCCTGGTTCTTTCGCAAGTGGGCCATGCACTCGCGACGGAAATCCTGAAGGTGCAGGACCGCTCGCCCCTCTCACCCTGCCACCCAAGTATCACGAATTAAAGGATTCAAGAATTCGGGCGCGAAGTCTGGAATGGTTGAATGACATGATATGGCCATTTACTCGGGCGACGGATCAATCGAGGATCTGAAGAGCTGATTAGCAATAAATTCAAATTAATTCCTTGCGCGACAAAATCACGTGAGCTCAGTTCTCGGGACCCCCCCGCGACAATTTTTAACCCGAAACTTACCGAAACCCCTCATCGCGCCCCCACCACGTCCCAGCAACCCCACCCCACGCGAACTCAACTCTTCGGAACCCCCACAATGTCTGGTCCGAAGCGTG